CGAAAAGGCAAGGTTTCACAGGCGTAGAGCAGGGCAGCCCGCATCGAAGAATTGTATACTCGACCTTTGACAGCCAGACTGACGTCGAGACGGCGCCAGAGGTGGCCCAAGTTGACGTATGCCACCCTAGCCTTCATTCTACGGTTGGAAATCTCATCCGTCACCCCTCCGCCAGGACTCACATAACTATCCAGATACACAAACTTATCAACAACTTCAAGCGGTTCAACCGCAAGAGTGAGTGCAGGTACAGGCTCCTGCCAATCTTGTAACAGTACTTTGCACTTAGACGGCGCAAAGTACATACCATACTTACAGACACTGACACTGTGTGTTTGTGTTTTAGTTATAATTTTACTTTTAATTTTTAGTTAAAAGAAGTTACAAAGAAGTTTTTGCTTCTCTGTACGTCTTTTTGTTGTGAGTAGTAACAGACTAAGTTTTCAGTGTATGACTTTTGCACAAAAATGCAGCAGTTCAAGTTCTATGTAGCACAAATAAAGGTAGAGAAAATATGCCAAGAAACTATAATAGACAGATTTACGGAGGAAAGAATTATTACATAGACAATAGTAAAAATTTCATATTTGTAAGAGATCACAAGTAGTGAATGCATCTGCTCCGTAAACAATCCCATCCATCGGTTCTTAGAGTATTCGGAACCTCAGTCAGGCAGTCTGTACTTCACTACGTGGCTGTAACCAATGGTCAGACTTTATGGGCTGATACCTGGTTTTGATTTGACTTTCGATAACTGTTTTCCGACCTGATCCAGTATCAGCTAACATTGTTGAATGAGGAAGGCGGTGGTTTGCCGTATATGTAACATGTGTTGTAGCCATCTCCATCGGTACTTTTTCACAATTTCATCGTCTGATTTCCCCTCCTTACGTAACATTATTATCCCTGATATATCAGTACTGCTCACCATATTATAAAACTTACAATAGGAGATAAAATGCAAACCTTCTTCAAGTCTCCCCTTATAAAATCCGTGTATCAATCACAAAGAAGAAGAGAGCCAACTGCTGCACAGTATACACGTCCTTTGATCAAAAGTCGGATATCACGTCTACGCCAGAGATGACGCAATTTAGCAGATGCTACACGAACCCTTTTTCTTCGTGCTTAGGTCTCGTCAACAATCAGAACTAATGCAATTTCCCAAGACCACCTACTCCATCGTCTCTATCTTCAAGCTGGGAGTCGCTCCAGACTAGTCCTACAGCATCTCCTTACTTGTGACAGGGGCGAATCTCATGCTAACCGTTCTGAGATTTCTTTTTAAGTTAGTCAGGAGACTGCATTTCTTCAGCGTCTACGCCTAGAAGGAGAATATTCTCTGTTATCAGCAGCAAATTTGTTATGACAAAAACTCTATCAAAGCTGCTGGCACTTCAAAAGTGTTGTGTGCAACTGATGTGAGGTGAAATTTAAATGCTTTATGCGATAATGGTACACTCGTCTTGGAAAAAAACTAATAAAAGTGGGCTAAAAGAAATCAGAAAGAAAAGGTTCAGTTGGGATCATATGAAGTCGTTTGGATTTTACCAGTTTTTGTCCAAAAGAATAAAAGTTTATGTATGTCAGCAAGCTTACTAACGCCTTTTGTAATTTCATCCATTCACTCTTCCAGTTCCCAATAATGTCGTGCATTTTGCAGGTTAATTAGTCAAAATGTCTGACTGTTTTTCTGTACATTGATATTAAAATTGTTGTAGGTTGTATGCATTTAGAATTATACCATATTATTTTGCTCATTTTGTCTAAGACGTGCTCCTTTGTACAGGTTTATCAAGGAACAACGTGTAAAAACGTGAATCATTTTTACTTTTAATTACCTTCCACAGCATATGAAGTCATGAAACATTAATCACCCTACAGAAACTCTAAGACGTGGATTTTTTTAAGCTATCACTAATATTTATCAGTTATATTCCTCGTATCCTATTTGATTATCTCTGACTATTTCTAAATGTATTCATGTCTTTACTTCTGAATTACTACTTGTGTTCAGAAATTTGCTATTGTTTCAAGTACGATAAAACCTTTGAGTAGGATATCTTCTGGTTAAGCAAAAGATAGGGTTGATAGAGTACTTGAATTCAGACGATTGATAGAGAGCTTACATATAACTTACATGAATACAGAATTACTTTATATTAGATTATAATATCATATTCAAGAGCTGGTTAGGAAGGATTTGATTGTTTTAAGGGTTTCATCATGAACTGACATCCGTTAGAGGGAGCTTGGAAAACTTGGGAGTACTGAACAGCTATTTTGTCAGCGTAGTTTGGGACTATTCGTCAGTACCCACCCACCCCAGGGTTCGAACTCAAGACCTTCCAGTTACAAGGCAAGCTCGTCGACCATCAGACTACTGGGACCCTATCCACTGGTCAGTCCATAAATTCCAACTTCTGCCAATTCATGATATAGCTCGACCACTAGCCAGTGTCATCGGCGACTATTCATCCTCATACCCGACCTGATGTACCCTACTGGTCATACGATACATAAATATCAATAAGATACTCACTAGTGACAGGCCTCATTCAAGTAGGTAGTTACTCGGGCTCTTTTGAGAATTCGTCACCAGTAATGTACAGCAGGTCGGGTATGAGGATGAACAGTCGCCGACGACTCTGGCTATTGGTCGCATTATATCGAATGTCATGGGTGGTATTTTTCCCTACACCCAACTTACTGTATCCCATTGGTCGCGAATTCCCACTAGAACCCAGGTAACTACCTACCTGAATAGGGCCAGTCACTAGTGAGCATCAGATAGCAAGAATTCGATTGGTTTCCAGATTTCATCTTGAATTAGGACGAAACAGCTGTACAGTACTCTCAGGTTTTCCAAGGGTTCTCTTACCGATGTCAAACTAATGATGAAATCCTATAATATTATAATTAGGATTTATTTTTTCGAGAATCACTCAATGTGTAATGTGTCACTGATATGCAAGTAGAACGATATGGGTGTAAGATATAGTGTTTTTATGATTAAGAACAAACAAGTTCAGCGAAGAGTCTCTTTTCGGCGAATTCATTCTCTTAGCTGTACAGTCGCAAATATATACAATTAATTTTGTGTGTGTGTGCATAAGGTTTGTCAAAATCAAAATCAAAATAACAGTTAGTGTGGGTTATTGGTTACATCATCAAAATAATAAAGAAATTAAATTGTGTGAATAGTAATCAAAGTTGTAACTAAGTAGGGTGAGGAATGGTAAGATGTGAGTAGGGTTACGTCATCAAAATAATATAGAAATTAAAATGTGTGATTAATAATCAAAGTTGTAACTAAGTGGGGTGAAAATTGGTAAGATGTGAGTAGGGTTACGTAATATAGACATGTTTAGAAAGATTAGATGTTCGTGAAGGAGTATGGAGACAATTATGAAAATAAACTAGATAATAGGTGAAAAGATTGAATGGGTTAGTTACTAAAAATTATTATACGAATATTGCAAAAAATTTTGATAACAAAATGTTGATGACAGATGAACTTGAAATTAAACCCACGGTAGTAGGAGGGGGTGGAGAAGTTTCTTCTGTGTGCATAATTCAGGCTTTTCTATCCAAATCGCTAAGGCTTCGGCAATACAAAGTATACGGAAGCTTGTCGATTTTGGAAGGCTTCTTTTGACTTTATAGATGACTTTGAATGACTTCTCCTTGCAAATCGAATGACCAGTGTTGAGTACATGCTCAATAATGGCGCTCCTTATTGCTCCATTGTTACCTTTCCGTAGCCAGGCGGGATAGTGTTCTTGAACTCTTTTAGATAAAACTCGCATCGAACGACCTATATACCTCGCTCCGCAAGAGCAGGTGAATCGGTAGATACACATGGAAGTGGTCAAATGCGATAGTTTATCTTTAGAGTAGTTGAAGAACAATGGCCGGGAGGAAAATGTCAGTCGTAGTGTTGCAGCGAAGAATGTCCTTCTTAGAGCAGTAGATATCCTCTTCTTCAAAGTGTCAGCCAGAAGGTCACCTTTGAAGGGTACATTCATGTAGACCATCTTCTTCTGCACTGTAGTGGGTTGTTCTTTGTAAGTCTTAGGCTTAATATGCTTGTCTATAAAACGGGGTGGGTAGCCATTCTCGAGCAGTGTCTTTCTTAAGAGGGCGATCTCTTCTTCTATTGATTCAGGACTGCAGATTTTTCGGATTCTAGTCGCCAGAGATATTATCAAGTTTCGCTTTCGACTAATTGGTACCCAACTGTAGAAGTTTGTCAACTGACCGTTCCATGTAGGTTTTCTGTGTACTGATCTGTTCAAGGTACCATCGGTCTTCTTACTTAAACGAACGTCCAGAAAGGAGATTGTCTCTTTGGTTTCTACTTCGATTGTAAATTTGATGGCGGGGTGGCAACTATTGAACACTTGGAGAACCATATTTTGATCACAATTGTTATCGCAGATGACGAAAGTATCATCAACATACCTTTTGTATAAGAAGAATTTGTCGATGGTTGCTTTCAGCGGACCATTTTCCAAACTTGCCATGAAAATATCAGCCAACACCGGACCCAAAGGTGATCCCATCGCCACGCCATCTTGTTGTCTATAGAGGTTCCCATTGAATGTGAACTGGACATTTAGGGTACATCTGAGTAGGAGTTCTTTTAGCTTAGTGGTAGGTATTCCAATATTCAGGTTGTTTTCTTCCAAGTATTTGCATAGAAAACAAATCGTCTCAGTGATAGGGACGTTTGTAAAGAGAGACTCGACGTCGAGTGAACACACACACACAAAATTAATTGTATATATTTGCGACTGTACAGCTAAGAGAATGAATTCGCCGAAAAGAGACTCTTCGCTGAACTTGTTTGTTCTTATTTCAATGTCTTAATGGGTATTTTTATGATTAAACTGATTGTTAAGCATATGTTTCATTACTTATAATATTCTATACTTGTGTTAAATGTATTCTCGTTTCCCTGATAAATACATTTCTATTTTTTATTTCTGAAAACATAGGCGAAGTACTGATCGTATGATTGAATCTTGTCGGACAAATCCAAAGTTTGGAGATATGGATTGTTTAGTTCGAGCTGCTGCTATTTATACCAGACGTTTGAATTCCCTTAGGCAACATGTTAAGGAGCATGAAGTAGGTAGCTTTCTTTGCAAATTGATTGTACCACTTTATATATATAATTAAATATATCGTGTTGATTTTTAGATGAAATTAAATTACCCATGGGCAAAAAAATTCCCATATGCTTATTTACTAGTTGTTAATACTCTGGTGACACAATTTAATATTGAATAAGTGTTTGTGTGTGTTGCATTTGAAGCTTGATGCATTGATTATTTTTTATTCATAAGAATAAAACTAATTCAACAGTTTACTCAGATAAGGATTGTAATAAGCAGACTGCGCTACAAAGATCCACTTAATTATTATTCTACATCATCTAGAAAGTCTTTCAATTTAGGAAAAAGTATCAAGTTCTTAAACACTCTAATATTTGTGCTCACTAGTTTGAGCACAAGTAGAGTTGATGGCATATTTGTTTAGGTCAAAGCAAATCGATTGATGCATGAAGAAGTGAAAGGTTAAAACTCTTAGTTGCAGTTATTATTATTTATTATCATTCCCTTTGGTTCCGAGTGGAACGTAGGGCTTCAACGACACATCTCCACTTTCTTTTATTTTCTGCTATCCTCTTCAGCTGGGTCCACGATTACCCAGACACTTTCATCTCCTCGCCACGCAATCTCCTCTATGTCACCATCGGCGTAACGCACACGATGTCACTCGACAGCCTCCTCAACGTGTTCCTGATCCATCTCCATTTCCTCTTACATATTTGTTGAGTGATTGGATCTTGGTTAGTTTGTTCCACTGCAAGGTTTCCTGTTTCTAATTCTTTCTGACCAGTCTATCATTTAATCTTCAGTAGCTATAATAAATGTGTCATATTAAGCTTTTCTTGTAATGAGAAAGGACAAATAATTCTCCATCATATTATTATTCTCTTGAGTCCCTAGTGGAACATTGGGTTTCAGCAGTACATCTTCATTTCACTCAGCTCCACGAGTGGCTGTAAGCTTTCATCCTTTCTTGGCACTGCCTCCTCCAAGTAACACCCGGCCTCCCAACTCATCCTTTCCCATTTAGGTTCCACTTAGGGGTTCACCCGGCTCTTGATATCATTCAATGGCCTTCTCAGTGTATGTCCGATCCATCTGCATTTTCTCTGATATAATTATTGGGTAGTAGGTCCTTGGTGAGTTCGTTCTCAGAGATCCTAGTTACCTAATCCTTTCTGATCATCTAGTCTTCCCTATAAAGTCAGTGAAGGCAGCTGTTGATAAAAGTCTTGCAGTGTGTTAGAAATACTTTTCGTGACCCTCCAATTATCTGAAGTAGAACTCATTTGACATAAGTGTTGAAAATACGAATCTTGTTCTATATAATGGGGTGCAGCAGATTTCCACACCAATTTCAGATTATTGAAGGTTTGTCTTTCCTTCTCAATCCTAGCTTTGATGACATCCTCATTCCGGCTCCTGTAATTGAAACGAGGCTGTCTAGATGTGTGTAAGAAGTGACTTCCTTCAAATTTCCCTTGCTCATAGTGATTATTGGTTGTTTCCTATTAGATACGTTTATTTGATATAACATAAAGTGATAAGGTATTAATGGCTGAACGACGTTTCTAGTACAACTTATTACAAGCGTGAACAGTAATAAATTGTGCTGGAATTGTCATCCACTTATTAATACTGTACTACTGTATTTTATAGTCATGTATTACTTTATTCCTTTATGTTCCCAGCGGAACGTAGTTCTTCAGTTTAGAGATTTGAAGTTTCGGTAGCAGTGGTTTTATTTTTACGGGGCGGGGTTGGTAGCCTCACGCTCAGCGTTCCTTCTTTGCCGAATTTTCTACTGACTTAGCGAGATTTAGGAATGCGTCGGTCGAGGATCGTACTTCGAACCAAAAGCGTGGTCAACGCGCTATATCAAATAAACTTATCTGATATGAAATTACATTCTACCACAGTGCCCAAGTTTTACACCTACATTAATCGGTGCTTGTTGTTGATGGTGGTAGTTAGGTATCTTGATCATCTTTATCTTCTTTGTATTTACTTGAAGTTCTGTCTCCCCCGCCAGCCTCTTCCGCCCACTTGTTAGCTTTTGTCTGCAGATCTTCGAGTTTGTGTGACATTAGACATAAATCATCCGTGGAGTGTAGATCTTCTGCAGTTTTTTGTCAGTTAAACGTGTGCCCGTCTTCTCGTTCCTGACGGTCTGTTGCATGACCCAGTCCACTACAGTCAAGAATATCTTCAGAGAGGGAGAGAGAGAGCAGACAACCTTATCTTACTCCTGTATTCACTTCAGAGGCTTCGGTGAGCTTTACGTTGCCAATTACGTGACACGTGGTATCGTCATATAGAGCTGTCGGCTGTGGTTGATGAGAGTTTTAGGTACTTTGTAGTGAAGACTACTGGAATTCCGTAAGGTGAATCGAGGATTCCTTGATTCAACTCACCAAAAGTTAGATATCACGCCTTGCTGTTTTCCGATTCATGTGAAGTGATATTTGGTAGGTAAGAACTAATTTCAAATGCCATCAAGTACATAAAACCTAGGAATATTTGAAGCGGGTTAGTAAATCATGTAGAATAAGAAATCTATATTCGCTTTTACTTTCTCAAATTGATTAAATCGGAGGTAGTCAATTAATTCTAACTTATCAGGATAAACGTGACTGTTAGTTGTGTTTATATTTCTTACCCAAGAATTATCTGATAAAAGATTTAAAGTAATAAATAACATACGTAAAGTGGTACTATTGCAACCCTGTGCAAATGAAATTGTTCATTGCTCTGTTTAAACGGTTACTTTATGAACACTTTCGTTATTAAGGTGAGAAAGTAAATGATGTAACACTGAGGTCACTGACTTAATGGAGGTTCGTGTAGCCTTTACTTTGAGCAAGAGAACACCATGTTATTTCAAGGTACTCGGCTCCACTTGTAAAAATCGTGCTGAAGGAAAAATTGGATTAAGCCTGTCAAAAATGGGGTGATATGAAAGTATTTGGACATCTCTGAAGCACTAATGGTTCAGATTTCGCATATTCAAAAGCTGGTTTGCTAGGAATTGATTTGATTGGTTAGAGGAATTCATCAGCAGCCGACGTTAGTTAGAGAACCACCGGAGAACCTGGGAGTACTGGATAGCTATTTCGTTAGCTTAGTTTGGGACTTCTCAGCAACACGCACCCACCGGCGTTCGAACTCGAGACCTTACGGTTACGAGGCGAGCTCGTAGACCATTAAGCTACTGAGACCCTATCCAAAGGCCAGTCCATGAATTCCAACTTCTGCGAATTCACGATATAGCGCGACCACCAGCGAATGTCTGTTACTGTTACTATGCCAGCGGGTTTGTTTTTATATTCTCAATACTTATTCAATCTTGGTAACCTTCCTTCGTTGCATCTAAATACTTGACCAGAAATGGTTTTCACATGTATCAACCTTTTCTCTTCAATGTTTTGTTTGCTTGCTTCGGTCATCTTTATCTTTTCCTTATATCAAATAATTCCAGTCACCGTTATACTCTGTGTAATTGTAGTTACAAATTTACATATAGTCTTATGTGAAATAAATTGATGAAGGATTTATCATAAAACTATGAGTGCAGATTACGTAATTACTGACAGTAAATGTACACACTCATTTTTTCTACATATAATCTGTTTATTCAAATAGTCAGTGAAAATCCTAATGCATCTGGAGTTATACAAAAAGCTAAAAAAAACCCAATGTGTAGGCTATTGGTGACATAGCGCGAAATCGTCCTGGCAATGTTATGGGTCTCATGGTTTTACATGCGACTATGCTTGTTGAGCTTTATTCCTAGCTGGTTTTGAGCTATGATCTTCAATGAAACTGTTTTGTATTTCTTTATTACTCCTTTGTCTCACACCTCTGCTCACTGTTTCTATTATGCTTTTCTTGTACTTTCTTCTCTTGCTTCGCGTGCTACACGGAAAGTGGCGACTTGAACTGGCGCACATTTGTGCAAAGTTCTATGTCGAAAACAGACAGACAGACAGGTTTTGAGCTTGATCGACTTACTTCATTCATTTTGATTTGTTTGTGTTCTTTGAGCTTGTTAATTTAATTGCAAAGCTTTCGTTGTTTCTCCGGAATTCTCAGCGTAGGCTATTAATATGAAGTGAACTTATTTAAAATTCTGCATGAATGATATAATTGTATCTCCTGATAGCCATTGTTGTGATTAGTTGTCAATTTATATTGATCATTTTTATTGACTTGGAATTTCAACTTTATTGTCATGTGATTTATTTTTTATTAATGGTTAGATTTTATCTGTATTAATGTGTGTTTGTTCATCTCTGATTCATGTGAGTACCTGGCTTCTTGAAGTCCCATGACACTTTTGGTGTTTGTTCTCTCTCTAAAATTTATACATTCTCCCAAATGGTGTCCGCCGTTATCTACACGCATCGATCTAAAAGAATACATATGGTGTCGTCACACAGCTAATATATATATATATATATATATATATATATATATATATATATATGCGCTTGGATTGGGATTTGAAGGCGACATACACTTTAACCGATGTATGGTTGATTGCAACGGGAAGGATTTGAAAGAGGTTACTTCATTCACTTATCTAGGGAGCATTGTCTCAACTACAGGAGGAACGGACGAGGATGTCAAATCGAGAGAGAATCGGGAAGGCGAGAAACACATTCATCAACCTGAAACCAATCTGGAAATCTTCGTCACTCAGCCAGCATCAACAACAAAATTCATTCGGATTTTCAACACAAACAACGTTGAGTCAGTGAGTTCTTCTATACGGACCAGAAACTTGGCGGGCGGGTCACAAAGAATATTTCCAACAAGTTATTGCAGACTTTTATCAACAACTGTCGTCGGTGCATCTATGCTGAAGATCAGATGGCCGGGCCGGAAAGAATCATCAACAAGAAACTGTGGCTGGGAACAAAGAAAACAAGAACCAATCGCCAACGAAGAAATATGCAGGAGAAAGTGGAGATGGATTGGACACTCACTGAGGAGGCCGGTTGGTGACATCGCGCGTCAGGCCATTGCTCGAGTGGAACTAGGCCCAAAGGGAAGCAGCGAGTGGGTCGTCAGTGGAAGGGTGACATGGAGGAGATCGTGTGAAGAGGAGTTGAAACAGTATGGACTAACATAGATGCAGATGAAAAGTACAGCAGAAGGAAGACAGAAGCAAGTGGAGACGTGCAGTTGAAGCCTTATTTTTCACTAGGAACCCAAGGGAACAATACTAAAAATATGGTTGATTACAGTTTATACAACTTATTTTGTAAATTACACAATATCGAGTGAAGTGATTGTACTGGCTGGCTGGCGTGCTATATCTCTCTTGGGTAGTCTTGATATTCTAATTATTATTCCAGAGATATTTTTTTATATATGTAGTAGGCAGGAAGAATTTTCTCGTCGTCTTTGAGGATGGTTTCTTGTTGGTATTTCGTTTGGAGTTTAGACATTTTTTGATGAAATTGTATGGATATTCATTCTTCTTAAAGACAGTTAGTAGATATTTCTATTCTATCCCCTTCAGCAGTGTGGAGTTCTACAGTGGTGTGTTTGAACTCTTTTATGCAATATCTGCAGACAGTTTTTTTGTGAACCAATTGGGTTATTGTGTGGTGAGAGCTGGCTGCTAGCCAAATTGGTAGACAGTAATTTCACGTCAATGTTTACGTCCCCAATATTGATCGTGAGAAAAATACGAACAAAGACTGATTCACCAATCAATCACAGCAGACTTTGCGTAGGCGGATACAATTAGCAGATAGATGATCTGACATTCAAGAAACAGCCACAAAGAGATGAAAGATTAACTTTCAGTGAGAAACAACCAATCAGAAGACAATAATCTATAATAATAATGTACATGTAATTCTATAGATATGTGTTGATTTCCTTGATAAACGAACGATCTGTTGCCTGGCCCTTGTCTTCTGTTGTTACATCTGCTATTATAGTTGAGTATTTGATCTGTGTTAGTACTCTTGATTAAGACATCTAAGGATGGAATTTCGTGGTCTGATTCTTATGAATTTATTGTTTTTCCATCAAATATGTTGTTGATTAATTGATGGGTATATTCCTCCAAATGATTGTAATGAATTTGAAGGTAGACAAAAGTATGCGCACATTCTTCTCAATGCGTATGTCATCTACTCTAGACTATTTGTGACTTCACTCTGCCTTGAGATTTTTAGAAAACCGCAAAATTGGAATCAGAGAACACAACCAAATCAATATCTCATCCATCTGAGCCACTAATCTTCTTCTTCTTCTAATTTTATCTGAGAATTTGATTCATCACAGAGCTAAAGCATCGTCAGGTGATTAATTTACTAATATATCATCATCTCAGAGGGGTTAAGATCTTATTGTAGTTTGATTAGCATGCTGTTAAGTATCACAACTTTTTAAAAGTATCTCTTCGTATACTTTAAACTAGTCAAATGATGAAAATAATAATAATAGTAGTAATAATTTCTATATTATTACTCTATAAATTGTTACAACACTAAGGTTATAATATAATTAATCCTATTCACTTGTTTGCTTGTTTGTTTCCAGATAAAATTCAATAATTTAGGTGGTGATGTAGCCTATGCAAATGCTGAATCAATAGCTGAAGGGCTTAGTTCATCTGCTGTGATCAATACTAATACAAATACCTCGAAAAATGTAAATAATAATAAATCGTAAGTTAAAACGCCTATTGAAATATTTTTGCATACAGTTGATGCTATTTTAATTTACTTCAATTATTCTTTCCTTTAGTATAATTTATGTGTTTTGTAGTATTGTATAATACTTATTGTCAATAAAATCAACTTTATGTTTAGGTTTTTGAAACTTCTTGCATTCAACAACGCGCTGCTTCCTTTGAGCTTCTTCACATTCCTGCTATTATGAGGTGGTAGTGGTTGTCTTTTATAAAATAAGGACGAATTACCTTGATTTAAAAAGGTAAAAGTTTTTATTTAGTAATTGAGTCAGTAGAAGTTGATTGGTGGGATGATGATTAGCAGTGGAATCCAAGATGCGCATTTCGTCCTGTTTGGGACTCGTCATCTGGATGTATCCGCATTCCACAGTAAATGATGATGTTTCCACGGATACTCGAACCCAGTGTCCATGCAGGCACATCCTGATGAGGAGTCTCAAATACGACGAAATGCGCACCGTGGATTCCACTGCTGGTCACTATCATCCACCAATCGAATTCTAATTACATGCATAGACATCGTTGAAGTATCTGCACAAGAAGCCGCCGACATGTCAACTTGAGACCGAGCACTTCGGTCCAATCAGTCGACGGGAAAATCTAAAATTGAATTAACTGATTGTGTCACTAGTTCACTGGTTGTGGAAGAATGCTCTCCACATACACACACTGGCCGGGTTCGATCCCTGGTCGATGATATACTCTTAAACCTCCTTGCCTAGCTTACTAGGTGATATTGAGTCCCCTGAAAAGAAAAAGGTCGCCCGGGGGAGATGGCGTGAGTCCAACAAATCCACCCTGTGATAAAAGCACGTGCTGAAAATTCAAAGCTTGTAAGCCTTGTGTTCCACTCGGAAGACGCGACAAACGGGAAAAAACCCCACAAAGACTTGTGGTATTTATTTTTCTTATTTGCGTTCACATTCTTCACCTTTGTTTTCCATTATGATGTTAAAAAATAGCCTACATTAGGCATTATGAGGAATTCAGTTGTGCTATCTATACGATTGCATTGTCCCCAATACCTACAGATGACACTGACTAGTAATGAGGAATTATTCACCCCTCAAGCAGTTTTTTTAAAAGGATAGATTATCAGATTGTTGTTGGATTTCGTCATCAACCAACATCAGTTAGAGAGAACACTGGAAACTGTGGGTGAGCACTGAACAGTTGTTGTTCAGTCCTATTTTGGGGCTATTTGGCGGTTCACACCCACAACCCTACCAGAGATCAAATCCCCAGGACCTTCAGGTTATGAGACTTAGCTCAATGACAATTCAGCCGTTTGGACTGAAATTCATTAAGCCGTAAATTCTAGTTTTGTCAACGTTGTGATATAGCGCTACTCTCGGCCAATCAATGCCTCCGATGTGTATTTACTTGAAATGATAGACCTGATTGGCTATGACTTCTCAAACGGCTTCAGGACATCCGTCCAGTAGTCGTCGATGAACTTGCAATTTATATGTAAATTATGGGATTTATAGGAATTAGTTTCATTTGGGTAGTCTTATTAGCCCTCATACAAAAATTATAGCTTAAAGCCTAGCCTAGTACATAAAAATTGTTTCGGTTAACTGAGCTCTAATAAAGCATATGACAAGAACATGCTTAGTGAAGAGGTATTCTAGTTAGTTTTCAGATGATAACTAACTAGCACTGTAATTTCGGCCTTTATGTATGCGTGACTTAAGCATGCTAAATGGTGTATTTGGCATAGTTATGGAGGTTAGTCTCTGTAATTTATTTTATAATATGCAGCTGAAATTTCTGTACATAGGATACTTTATTCTCTCTAGAAATCCTTAAGTGACCATATCTACCAATATAGAAGAAATGCATTTTGTCTTTCTAAACGGGTGGTGGTAGATACTCAGCTCATGGGATGTAGGATATGGTAATCGCAATGCTCATTCAAGAGTAAAACCGTTGTCAAATACCAAATGATCAATAACCAGAAGTCTATGTGATTAATGACATTTTTCGCTATTCGTGGTAGGTTAATGCACTTTTCCTCATTCCAGCAATCGTAAACTTCTCCCATCTATATGGTGGTTGAGTGAGTAAACTTTGTACTAAAATACACAAGTTCACTACTTTCCTTTGGATATTACCATAAGTCTAGGGTTTGCTTCGCTTATTTATCAATATCGAAATAAAAGCATATCTAACCTAAATATTACAGTCATAGGTTACATTCATTTCGCCCATGTTATGACCACCCAAAATTGAAACATTTAGACAAGACAACCAAAAGCATTGGATTTGCCAATCGCTTTAATTCGTGAACAATAATAGTCACAGAAAAATACATTAGTCATCGCAATTTTCATACGATTTCGAGCATTTCAGTTCTAGTTTAAGAATAAATTCTTGAAACAGTAACCTTTCCTTGAACAGTTCCATTGAGAATTAAGTTTTAATGTTTGTCATAACTTGTCTTTTATTCATTTTTCAAGAGTTGATTTGTTTTTCAAGTTTGACCACGGATTGATATCAGTTAGAGTACCATTGAAAATTAGGGAATACTGGACAACTGTTTCGTCCTGGTTGGGATTCATCATCAGTACCCATCCACTGCGTACATTTCCTACTGTCTTCTTTGATTTGTCCCTTCCAAATGTTAATTTGTTTATGATGAGCATTGTTTCTGATAGTTGTGTAAAGATTAATCTCTTCTTGCATGTCCATCAGTTACTCTTAGATGGTACAAATGTGATGGTGTGAAAGACTTCGTGGTGGGTTTAGTGTTTCCCTTGTTTGGCATTTTTGTAATTTTCTTGGCTTAATCGTGGTACACCAGTCTGAATTTTCAGTCACAATGATTGCAATTGAAGTAGAAACTCGGTTAAAGTAGTATAGAAAATCATCTCTGTATTACTCTTAGGTTATCAAGAATTTAGGTTGAATCCTGGTGACTTATTAGAGCATTTATGCTGAAAAGAAGTTACTGGTTATGGATGTGAAAATATGCAATATATTCATTAGTGAACCCATCGAGGTTGTGGAGCCGTGCTGATTGGGATGACTAGGACAGTGCTTTTCTCATCGAAATATGTTAGATCGCATGCAATATGGCTGAAAAAATGTTAGGGATGGTCGGGTCAAAATACTGCATCAGTCCATGGAGTCTTCGACAGTTAGTCTGAATCACTTACGGAAGTACACTTCCCTGCTTAGCTGGGGTTCTCGAGATGCTCAGAATCAATGGTTAGAGAGGGTTGGCAACTTGGGGGGGGGTATGTGCATTCACTCTTTGTGACCTCCCAGGTCCATTAAATTCTCATTACTTTCTAATGTACTTATTGTTCCTGGTTCGCATTTTCTTTCATTATGGTCCCCTAGAGGTTTTTCTTCTACATCAGTGTGCTATATAGAGTGTGACAACTTGAACTACTGCACTTGTTTGTAGAAATTTCTGCGTCAGTCAGTCGATTTTGTGCCAATGTTTGTAATTTAGTACGTTGAAATTATAAAAGTGCTATTAATGATCTTAACTACCCGTTTAATCATATGTAAAATGGCTCACAACAGAAAATATGATGTCTGTTTTATTTACTTGATTGCGCATATTGCTTTTTTTGTAAATCGAAATGTTTTTTTTCTCTAAATTTTAATTATTGCAGATTCGACGATGATGATGAAAGCGAACATTCATTTGATTCAGATCAGGAAGACGCTAATGGTAGTAATAATAATCATTATCATCATAAAGATGATCCGACTGCAAACAGTAATTCAGATATACATTCAGGAAATCGATATGTAGGCTATGCTTCTGCTCTATATGAATATGAAGGTAAGTGTTACTAAGCGGCCCTGTTCTTATTATTACATTCCCTCTTTCTTCCGTTTTATTAAATGTTAATAAAAATTCACTGTGTATTGGTTGATATGTTGTAAGAGTTTTAATGATTATTTTTGATTGGATACTAGTCAATAACTAGTATAATGTGTCTAGTCGTATTTTCGGTGCAGACTGAATTCTATCAGTCAAGCTTGCAATGTGGCCACTATACTAGATAGCTCGCCATCACGCTCCACTGTGAATTGTCGGTATTAGATGGTTGGAGGCAATCGGCTGATTGAGTTCAGTCTCCACCGAAGATAGGACTAGACACATTACACTAGTTACAGATTAGTGTTCGATCAAAAATATCCAATACAGTCCTGCAGGAGGTCAATCGCGAGCCAGCCTGAATAGCTTAGTGGTAACGTCTCTGACTTCAGCACTGGGTAACGCTGGTTCGAATCTCGAAAAGGATATGAGTTCCTTCGAAGTTGTAGATACGCTTTGCCGATTGATGAGTGCCAACTAGCACGGAACCTGAATCCGAGCGGGTTTCCTGCCGACATATAAATGATTAGTTGTGAATGATCTTTAAGTAATTCTGTAAGCTATTTAAAGCTTACTGTTGTTTCTACTTTGTTAGTTGAAATGAATTTAGAGGGTAGACAAAAGTGTATTCCTATATATCTCCTCAATGTAATCTACTCTAAGCTATTATGACTTCACTTCTCCCATGTGATTTAGAAAACTGAAACTTGGAGTAAAAAGGATTACCTCTAGCTATATCATTATTTTGTGAGATATTGTTGTTTTGTTTTGTTTATGTTTTTCTTTCAGTAAATAATGATTTAAACAACTTATTGAAAGTGTTTAGTATTCAGGTGAAAGGGAGGTTATTCAGCATTAGGCAGCACATACCAAAATGTTTACACGTGTACAAACTATGACTCAGGCAATAACTGAGATGACCTGGCTGCGCATATCCGCTACAAAACAAGAAGGCGTATTTTGCACCAACATATGGACATAAAATTTTAACGCGAAGTAAAAATGAATGAGAAATGGAAATTATTTGATGATACTGTGATTTTTATGAAGAATTAATTGATTTTGAGGCTGATTAAGCTTCATAGAGTTATTCATTATAGTTCGTTAGCCTTCGGCAGAATTGGATTTGCATAGAGTAGGGAGGGATATGCATTGTTGTTGTTGGTGGTGGTGGTGGGGGTTGTAACCTGCAAAGACAGCTAGATATCCAGAAATATATGAAGAGCCATAGAAAGAACAAGATTATTAATGAAAATGACAAAAGTAATATAGAATTTAGAGCCTCTGTAGTACTGCTGTATAAAGAAGAAAGGTCGTCAAAAGCCTTACGTAGGATTCTCAATGAGGTTGCAATTAAGGTGGCATTCGAACCAACCAACTCTTTCAGAGATAAAGTTTGTCGGCTAAATGATCGAGTAGATCCAATTAGGAAAAATAATATAATTTACCAAATACCATGTATGACTGTGAGGTCAATTACGTAGGTCAGACCATTAGATTAGGCTCTACCTAGAATAATTGACCCTGCTAAATTAAGTAACCTCTCTCTCCTTCTCTGGATTCAACATAGAACTTGGCACCGAACTGCAGGAGTTCGACTTTCCACGTTCCAAATAGCACACAAAGCCAGACAAGAAGATGGGGGAAGAGAATCAATAGAGTTTGACAGGTATAAAAGCGAAGCAGAATGGGTAATGGTAGAAAGAAATATGAAAGTTTACAGAGACTGAATACATCTGCGCTGGCCATTGACAACGATTTTGAGCCATGTCACCTATTGTCTCCAGCCATTGATTCTTAGAGTCCCGAGGGCGCCAACCCGGAAGTCTGCATCTCCCTACCTGACTCAGCTTAACTGTCAAGGATTTCATGGATTGATGCCATGTTTTTGTTTGGCCACCACTTACTCTTTTCCAACCTGCACCACCTATATCAGCTAGTAATGCCCGTCGGGCGGGGGAGGCGATGGTTAGGCATTCGCAGCACTTGACCTAACCATCTCAATCTATGTAACTTTATAGCCTCGTCGATTGATTTTCCCTCTCTGCCCAACACTCTACGCCTAATGTCAACATTACTTACCTTATTAAACCACCTAACGTGAGAAAGAGATCGTAGACATCTATGATCGAAAGCAGTCAACCTTTTCATGTCTTCAACTCGTATTGGCCATGTTTCAGAGCCATAGAGAAGGACTGAGGGAACTGCTGAGCAGTACACACGTCCCTTGGTTGATAGCCGGATGTCACGCTTACGCCAGAGATGGTGTAAGGCAGCGAAAGCAGCTCAAGCTTTTTGGTTCCGTGCTGAGATTTCGTCGCCAATCAGTCCGTTGGTGCTGATACAACTTCCCAAATAGGTGAAGTGGTCAACATGTTCTATCACTTCACTCCCTATCACTAAGCTAGGAGTCGACGTAATCCAGTCCTGTAGCAGCATGTTACATTTTACAGGGGCGAAACGTACGCCAAACATACGAAGATTGCTGCTCAAGGTGTTCAGAAGACTCTGCACTTTATCAGCATCCTCCCCTAACAGGACTATGTCATCTGCATATTCTAAGTCCATAAGACTATTCCCTGGTAACAAGTCGGTTCCTATGTCGTTACGTTCAGTTAAGGATACTTCCATCAGCGTATCTATGATGAAGTTAAACGGAAATGGGGAAAGTGGACATCACTGTCGGACACCACTGGTTGTTACCGATTCAGATGACAATTCTCCATAAGCCCTTACGCGGCTATGTGAGTTTGAATAGAGTGCCTTGATTAGTGCAATGTAGTTTCCTGGCACTCCCTTCACAGTCAAACATTGCCATAGTACCTTTCGATCCACGGAGTCGGAAGCCGCCTTCAAGTCAAGAAATATGACAATTGTTGGACGCCGAAAAGTGTGTCTATGTTCTAGAATATGTCGGAGAGTGATGATCTCATCTATGCACCCTCTACCTGGTCTTAAGCCTGCTTGATTTTCCTTTGTTTGTTTCTCCCGAGTTCTGATTAGTCTGTGCATGACTACTGGACCTGGACGAAACTCGGCCATTGCACTGCATTCACATGCGTGTAATCACACAATACGGTTGGACAGGGTAAGAGTATTGATAAGTAATATAGTTAGATAGAGAGAGAGGTCGATGCAACATCGTACATGTACAATCGGGATAACGCAACCTCCAGTGTGTGTGTCTTAGAAAACATTGGATAAATAATCTCAATAACTTTTATTATAATTATCATTAATACTGTAACGACAGAAAACAAGGGCCAGCCATTAGATCGTTTGTTGAGAAAATCGAGAAATATTTCTGGATTTTTATGTACATTATTGTCAGCGGAGAAGCAACCTCTTGTGATTGGTTGTTTTCTTGCTGAAGGGTAATTTCTACTGATTGTGACTATTTCTCAAAAAGTTAAGCCATACATCTGTGAATCGTATCTGCACACATTAAGTCTGTTGTGATTGGTTGGTGAATTCCTCAAGGTTAAGCTTTGATATTGTTCTTTTTGTCTCATGACCCCAATTTGTTACGTAACATTGACGTAAATTGCTGTCTACAATTTTTGGCTTGCAACCAGCTCTCATCACAATACTAAATGTTCTAACCTTTCTTTTAACCTTTCTTCCAGGTGATGGGAGTACTTATTTACCAACAAAACCAGGAGAATTGTATTATGTCGTGAGTGTAGACTCGACTAATTCTGGTTGGACAGCTGTAGTATCTGAAGATGGTACACGTCAAGGTTTTGTTCCAACTGGTTATATTAATTTAACATTATACTGATGAAAAGATAGTTCTGTTTTCACCTCTCTCTCTCTCTTCATTTCTTTGTCTATCAGTTGGTTATTGTTCATATTATGATGAGAGTAGTTCATTTCCCCTAATTAACCTAGTGATTATGCAATCGTTTTGTTTATTTTTCTTTTTTTCTTTACACATATTAATATTAACGAAAGTATATCATGATTTGTACATTTATTCAACTGAATTTATTATCCATACTGTAATCCCTATTATTATTATTTATGACGCCTAATATCATCATTATTTTTATGTTATACCTAAGTATACTTAAAACTGCAAAGTAAAAGATTATTTCTATTCAACTACTGCACAGTTATATAGCTCCATTAGAATGTTTTGGGTTCATTTTTTTTGTTTTTCATCTTCAGTTTTATCACTTTTTTCCGTCCAATAAGTTTTTTCACTTTTCTTTTTCACACACACACTGTTTTTCAACCATGCAAATAATTATGATGCAATATTGATTATTAGATTTTTTGTGTGACCTTTTGCTCCAAGATCTTAGTGCCTTACATGTACATTCAGGTATGCCGTATTCTCTACATTAGCTAATGAAACTTTTGTTACTTTTCTGTTTACCTTCTAAGGAAGTTTATACATAGTGAATAAATGATTATTGTTTAATGCTTTAATGACCACATTTTTCATATGATAATAATTTTATCAGTCTGAAGCAATCTTGTATCGGTTTATTGATTATGTAGTTCTTTATATCTCCCTCCTGATCCTAATGATGACTAAGGAAGGATATGTACCTTGTCGATTTCACCAATGTTCACATATCCCCTTGTTGGTCCTTTGTACGCATGTATGTGTGTGTGGCAGTACTCATTCCCATAGATCATCAATTATTTGTCAACCACCAGAACACAATAGACGATCACATTTGTATGGTTTGTGTGATTAGTGATTTTCAAATGTTCTATTCTGATCCCTTCTCTCATGGACGATGGATGACAACACGCTTATCCTCACACAAACATTCATCATACACAGAAATATAAAAATTATTTTATAAAATATTGTTCATCTATCTATTCAGCCATTTTTATTGCTATTACCACTAGACACGTATATGGCAGTCTCCGGCACGCTTATATCTTATATTTTCACAACTGCTGAAGTCTATTTTCCACTCCATATATATTCATATATACATACCTCAGTTTGATTTCATTTTTATGATGACTCTATTATAAAAGTTTAATTATTTCACCTAAATATTGAAAAGAATTTTTACAAGTATATATATATATCTACACCTGCACAATTGTATTTATGTGTGCGTAATTTGTTATTCTGAAGATTTTGTTTTCCTCTTCTGCTTTTGTTTTCACATTTTGTCTTCGTTTTTTTTAACAAAAATAATATATACTACTAACAGCAAGGCATGAAAAGTGCGCGCGTGTTTGTCTTTTGATTTGATAATTTAGAAGGATTGATGTTGTTGTATATTGGACGGTTTTAAGCGCAAAAAGACTTTGCTTCCTTCTTTCATGTGTCAAAATGTCACTTCTGGTGTTCCATTGAAAGAGCGGTAGTAAATTTGTCTAGAGTTAGTGTCAATTGTGATGTAAACGAGCTATGTAAGTGGGTGGGGGGCATAGAAAGAGATGACAGTTGATGGAGAGATATTCACTACTTTCGTGACCAAATTGGAAATAGTTCTACTGTACAATACTTGTGGAATAGATTATGCTACATACAACTTGCAAATAATCGATAATCAATTGTTGGTTTGTAGGGATTTGATTGGTTACAGGATTTCATCATGAGCCGACATTAGTTAGAGAACCATTGGAAAAACTAGTTCTAGTGAGAAGTCGTGACCAGTAGGGTGCAGCAGGTCGGGTGTGAGGACAAATACTCGCCGAAGGCATTGGTTAGCGTTTGCGCTATGTCGGGAATTGGTAGAAGTTAGAATTCATAGGCCATTGGATCGGGTCCCCGTGGCTGTATGGTATACGAGCTAGCCTTGTAACCAGAAGGTTTTGGTTCGAACCGTGGCGGTGAGTGAGTACTGCTGAAGAGTCCGAAACTAGGACGGGACAGCTGCCCAGTACTTCCAGCTGGTTTTCCAATGGTTCGCTAACTAATGTCAGCTCATGATGAAATCCTGTAAATAATCGATAAAATGAACACCACATATTACTATTTATGTATTTCACCGGTACTTCTATACGTCCGTTGGACGTGATTGTTAAGGCAATATACTAACTTTACTAAGTTCTTTTTCACTTGTTGAGATTAGTTCTATGAATCTAGATGTAGAAATAATATATTTTAGTAATTCTTATGACTTAATTTGGGTGTGATGAGTTGGTAACGCAGTAGTTTTGTTTTAATGTTTGCAGCCAGGTTGAATTGTGGCGTGTACTACTGATAAGATATAGCAGTAGCATATAAGGAGACGTTCGCCGGAGTAAAAATATAAAGTAGTGGAGAGATAGATTTGACGTGAAAGGTAACAAATGATTCAGTGTTGTGGCAAAACATGGGAGACACGAAATAAAGACAAAGAAACTCAGTACGAAGGGCAGAAGTAACACTACACGAAAGATCTGTGTAAATGATGATTTGGAGGCATGGTATACATAATTTCACTATATATAGATACTAAATTGTGAATAAATATTCCTTTACCAATTCTCTTGTCTTCTACCGTCATAGTATTACTGAATCTTTTGCGGTAGTAGGTACAGTTTGTGTTTTTCTAGTATGAGTTTTCTCTGAGTTGCACATACTACTGTGACCTCTCTTCAAGTGATGTAGGGCGATTCTGGAATCCGTCGAGATTAGCACTGTATGACAAAAGCATTACGTAATAGAATTGTTTTAAGGTTTATTTGATCATTAGAAACAAGAAATCTTTCTGTCTTCCGTGTAATAGAATTTATCCTGGGGTATGAGTTTTATTCTAAATGGATACCTCACTAGCGTCTACCATTTTTAGCTATCCTACCTTAGGTGATAAGTTTCATTGTGCTTTGTAACTCTAAGTCCACTTGTGAAAATGTCTCATTACCTACTACTGTGTCTCAACTGTCCCTTGTCAAGGCTTCCAGCTCTCATAATAGTCTTCATATTCCTTACTTGTATGAAACTGTAGAATACAAATTATACCACATACGTATAGTTGTTTATGCGTTGATGGTGCAGCGGTAGAATGCTCACCAACTACGAATGGGGTCCGGGATTCGATCCCCGGCCGACACAATCTTTTACCTCGCCAAGTCAGCAATAAGACTGGTAAGGAGGGAAAGTTGGACGTGGGGCTAGCAATCCCAAACCGTAGAAAAATTGAACACCACTGCCACTGAAACTTCACTGTTTTAGTTTGAAGCCCTTATGTTCCACTGGGAATGTAAAAGAATAAATAATAATACGTATAGTTATTGTTATCATACGCTATAGTACTATTATTGTTACTCTCCGGTATCCAAGTGGGGCACAGGAATTCAACAGCACATATTCTTATCATAATCTCTGCAGTCCTTTTTAGCTGGCTCTACGATTGTCTGTAAGCTCTCACTTCTTCTCCACATGATCTATTCTATGTCACCGTCGGATATCCAACTCGTTATTCCCCATTCGGGTTAAACTCGAGGGTTTGTCTGGTGCTCAGTATCACTTGGCGATCGGAGCGTGTATCCAATTCATCTCTGTTCTCTTCGGTATATTTCTTGGTTGATAAGCTGTTGGTTAATTTGTTCCTTGTTACTAATCCTCTCTGGCCGACTATCTGATCACCAGTAAGGAGGGAGCAAAGGTAGCTGTTGATAAAAGTTTCAAGCCTGTTCGAAATGCTTTCGGCGGTGCACTAAGTTTCTGGACTATATAGAATAGCTGATCTGACACTAGTAGTGTTGAGAATCCGAATTTTCTTTCAGAGCTAAATGGAATAGATTTCCGCATCGATTTCAGATTACTGAAGGCCTGTCTTGCTTTTCCGATCCTGATTTTGGCATATTCACCCACTTGATTGTCTGTAGTTGAAGCGGTACTTCCTAGATAAGTGAGGGAAGTGACTTCGTTCAAATTTATTCTGTTGACAGTGACTAGTGGTTGTTATTGTTGTTGGTTGTTTTCATCACCTCCGTCTTCTGTAAGTACACTTGAAGTCCTGTTTCCGTTGCTTCTTATGCCCAGTCATTTTTTCATTCCGTTTTAGAACCATCAGTGTAACTTCCATGACATAGAAGTCAAATTATTATTAGTATGTCAGTAACAACATATTTATGCCGTTACAGTTTACACCGTCTCTGGCGTAGGCTTGATATTCGGCTATCTACCAAAGGGCGGGTGTGCTGCTCAGCAGTCCGCTCCGTCCTCCTTTATGGCTGTAAGACCTGGTCATTGAGCGTGGAAGACATGAAAAGATTAGCTGTCTTTGATCATAGTTGCCTGCGTTCTATCTCCAATGTGAAGTGGGAAGGCGTCGAGTACTAGGAAAAGAGGGGAAATCGATGAACGAAGCTGTGAAGTTATACCGATTAAGATTGTCCAAACAAATCCAGGCCGAACTAAGCGCCGCAGATGAACCAACATCCACATCTTCTAATACACCCGAGACACGATGGAATCATTTCAAAGAAGTAGTCTCTAAAGCTTCAATGTCGCATTTGGGTACCACATCCAAGAAGCAGAAAGACTGGATTTCAGAGCACACCATGCTTCTATCCTCGCAAGCCAGAGACGCTCGCCTAGCAAAGTCTCCAGTTTATCGCTCCCTCAGGCGCAAAGCTACACAGTCTGCTAGGAACGACAGAAATCGCTATTGGTCTAACGTGGCGACTAACATGGAAGCAGCATCAAATGTAGGCGATTTCGGAAAACTTTATCGCCTCATACGCCAATCATCTGGCAAACGCCTTAACAGTCATGCTGTGTTACGCACAGCATCAGGAGAAATTATTTCGGACACCAATGGTAAGATGGAACGATGGGCCGAACATTCAAGCAGCTACTCAATCGCGACGCTGGTCAACCGTCTCATCGACCGATACGACACTTACCAACACCCTACGTAGTTGACTGCGATCCACCCACTCCAACCGAAATAGCTAAAACAATTAACAGACTCAGAAACAAAAAAGCTCCGGGCGAAGATGGTCTACCCCCAGAAATATACAAGGCCTGCACTCCAGCGCTAATCGATGCACTGCACTCGCTGTTCTGCTCAATTTGGGAGTCCGAAACCATTCCTTCCGATTGGAGCACCTCAGTTCTGCTACCGTTCCACAAAAAGGGAGACAGGTCAATATGCGAGAACTACCGAGGCATAAGTCTGATTGATATCGCTGCTAAGGTTTTTGTTTCCATTCTCCTGAACCGCTTCGCGGCCGAACGCCACGTGCGAACAAGGCCAAATCAAGCCGGATTTCGACCTGGAAGAGGCTGTGTTGATCAATTATTCACACTGCGAAGAATTTTGGAACACAGGGACAAATTCCAACAGCCGACGGTTGCTTGCTTCATCGACTTCCAAGCGGCATTCGACTCAGTTGATCGAGGAGCACTCTGGTATCTAATGGAGCTCGACGGAGTTCCGACCAAGCTAATCAACCTGCTCAGGTCATACTACTCCAACACCAAAGCTCGAGTCCGAGTGAACGGTGAAGAGTCCCGCACTTTTGAGGTAACCAGCGGTGTCCGGCAAGGTTGTCCAGCATCCCCCATCCTGTTCAATTTCACAATTGATTGGATTTTGCGGCACGCCCTAACCGAGCACCACGGCGTCCAACTTTCGCCCGATATTCACATAACCGACCTCGAATTCGCCGACGACGTCGTGCTGTTAGCTGAAAACTTCCCCGATATGCAACAGGCGCTCGACCAGATAAACCACCTCGCGCCTACTATCGGTTTGAAAATTAACACTTCCAAAACCAAAATGTTTTCGAACACATCCACCAGCAATGATGAAATCTTATCCCTAAATGGAGCACCTATTGAAATTGTGCCATCCTTCAGATATCTGGGATCCATAATGCTCCCCAACGGCCAAGCGAAAAACGAAGTGAATGCGCGAATCTCCAACGCCCGGAATGCGTTTCTACAGCTGAGGAGCGTTCTATGGAGCAAGAGAGAAATCAGTCTCAGGACTAAAATTCGGGTCTACCAAGCTTCCATACGACCCGTTCTCCTGTATGGCTGTGAAACCTGGCCTCTTCGCGCGGAAGATTTACGCAGACTCGAGGTATTAGACCATTGGTGTCTCAGGTACATTCTGCATGTTCGTTGGCAGGACAAACTCTCCAACGAAGAAGTGCGTCGTCGTTGCTACAACATCAACCAAATTCCAGTACTGGTCCAACAACGCCGCCTTCGGTGGTTTGGCCATGTTCTGCGCCGACCAGATGACGATCTGGTCAAATCAGTTCTAAATCCCTCGCCATTACCATCTTGGCGATGTCGCAGGGGCGGACAGCTGAAGACATGGCTTGGTACAGTCAAGGCAGA